ATGCACAAAGTACTGGTTTCCCTGCTCGTCTTCAAATGTGTAATGTATGTACCAAAACTTTTCAGCTTGATTCTTCTATAGATCAAATAATTGATTTTTGTTCTCTGGAAATCTTGAAAAAGCTTTTATTGAGGTACAGCATGTAAAGTGGTATTTTTTTCAAATGATCATCATTGATGAAAAACAAGAATTGCATGTCCAAGCCTTTGACAAGCAATCATGAAGTCCTTCTAAGTTTGAGAAAATAAATGGTGTGTAATGATCACATCACAAAGACAAACCAAACTCTTTTCTTCACAGATTTATATCAGATAACTGGCTCTTCTTCTGAGCAGAGCCTAGACCAAACTTTTCAAGCATACGACTTCCTTCCTTTCTGGATGAAGATTGCTTGCATGTTTTGTTATTCAAAAATTCCAAAGAAAAAAGATCTTGATACAACTGAGACTTGTAGAAAAATGTTTCTTTTGCCTTTTGGTTTTTCAAATCTTCATCTTTGATTGAAAAAAATATTGTATGTGTTTTGAAATCAAGTGTTCATGAGAGTAGTTCAACAATACTGCATATAGTGTGTAACCAATTCCAAAATCTGTGGGGTAAATGTGGATGGGAAGATTATTGAAAATGTATTTTGAGGGTAAGTGAATCATGGGAAAATTAGGGCAGAACCCTGTGCCTTGCTAATTTAGTCTTTGTAGCAACACAAGGGCAGAAAATACCACTATCAGAAGAAGGGACTATTTGATTTTGCGCAGAGATGAAACATATAATTGTAGTGATGGTTTCCATCCACCTGAAAATTGTCACCTAGAATTATTGGTACTAAAAGTTTAGTCATGTCAAGCATGTTTACATTGAAAAACTACCTGATGAACTTTGAAGTGTGGGCAGTGAGGGAATTGAACGGTGTTATCTGAGTGTTCAGAGTTAGTGTTCCTCAATATAGAATTTATTTTGTAGTTGTTGGTCATCATTTGATTCCATGTTAGATTATTTTGCAATTTGGCTGTTGCCAACATGTCCCCATATTCTGTAGTGGGTCAAAAGATTCATTAAAAAAATCGGTGCTTGCCCAGCAAAAGATGCAAAACAACACAATTTTGTTCATCTACCTCAATGGGAGAAGTACAAGGTCCCACCCAGATGTTAAAAGTGGGAAAATTGGACAAAGGATTCAGTGGATGTTTAGTTCCTTGAACCTGATAATCTGTTTGCGTGATTTTCTTTGAAAAAGATAATCAATATGTATCTGTGAAGGTAACTTAGAATAACAGAGCTTGAAGTACAAAAAAGAAGTGAATGATCAGTAAAACTGAACAGGATATTGAGTAAGGCTTGGACCCGGCCCAACCCAGCCTTCAAAATCCAAGCCGACTTGGGCTCTTGTTTTTTGGCGGCCGACCCGGACCGGCCCAAGTGGAAAAACTTTCTGTGCTGAACAGCCAAAATAATAAAAATAAAAGAAAATAAACAAAACAGGCGATTTCAGGCGCTTTATATTGGTCATTTAAAGCCCTATTTTTTGCTTTTTGGGTCCCATTGCCACTTTTCTGAGCCTCTCAGACCCACTTTCATTGCTACACTCACTCTAAACTCTGAGTTTCAGCCCTTTTGGCTGGCCCAAGAGCACACTACTCTCGGGCCCAAGGGCAAATTTCTGAGGCCAAAAAAGCCCGGGCCCAAGCCCGGCTTGGGCTTTCCCGCTGGTCCCGGTGCCGGGTCCATGCCTTAATATTGAGGTGCAAATTGCAGTTGGCCAAGAGAGTGTGACATCTCTTTCAAATATCACATGTATACTACATGTTTGCAGATTGAGATAGTTATAGACTATCTAACTTGTAGGCTGTGGTTTATCTTCAATGAGATGAATTAAGAGTTAAAATTTATGATGTTTTGATTGAAATTCATATATCAACATCTGAAATGAAATTCCAAAGTTGAACTACAAATGTGAATTGATCTTAATGGTCCTTGCAAAACAAGTCCCCAAAGCACATCAGATAGACATTCATAATTTTCAGTACATGTTTTGGACCTGTCCTCACTCATTCCCCTGATGCATGCTTCAAATGTAATCTGATTCAATCTGGCTCATTGACTTTCAAACCATACATGATTCTGATCAAATTGTCTGAAAATGTTTGAGGGGATTGGTAATGTATGCACGTCTTGCTAACTTCAAAAGGGACTCCACTTCAGATTGTAAGACCTTTCTCCCTCAAATTGATCTGGTGTCCAATCTTTTCACATTTGTAAAAGGATTCAGCAAACCTTCAGTAACAAATTGGTTGAATAGCTAGATAAAGTTACATTTCTTCTTTGGATTTATTCCCTTAGCTTTTGTTTCTTTCTGATCCTTGCATACATATTCTCAAAGGATAAACCAAGTACTACTACCAATCTCAAGTTTTAAAACTCCCATTCTTGTCTTCATCAGCCACTCCAAAATGAAGTTGGCACAGATTTTCTTTAGTATAAATATCTTGATGCAGCACAAAGCCTCTGCTTATGTTTTAAGACTACCTGAAGGCTATACATCTGCAAGGAACGACATATCATCTAGCCAAACAGCTTATGAACAAGCAGGTGTGGTATTCCCAGCTTCCAATCGAAAATACTTGGAGGACAGAAAACTTTCAGAACAATTAAATGCACAGTCACAAAACGATTTTGGGGAATCACAAGGAGCAAGCGATGACAAAAAAGACATGGTTTATTTACTTGTAGGAGTTCCTGTTGGGTGTTTGGCTCTTGTAGGAGTTGTTTTGAGTATCTTGTTTTGTTGTAGAAAGTATGCATTTTTCATTCTAGCTTTTAACATATTCCTGTACATGTATTTGTTCACTGATATGTTGTTTGATTCTTTCTCCAGATCTTCCTGAGCTGCTCCAACAGATCATGCTTAGGGTTGAAACTAACAGGTGGGATATCCAAACAAAATCAAACACTTTGGGTTACAGGGAAGGGATTCTTGGGTGTATTTTTTGTACCTTGGGTTGTGTTTCATATCAAGCAAACAAGACCAAGTATCACTGTGGATTAGTTTCATGTTGCCAATCAAAGTTCTCCAACATTGAAAGGCTATCTGGTATATTCTACTTTTCAAGCTATTAGGCAATAGAAGTGAAAGTGAATCATCACAAACACTCGTGAAATTTTAAATATGTCAAAGTGACCATGCAGAGCTCTGAAATCAAGTCTCTCTTCACGTCAGCAATGCAGATAACCAAAGTAATTCTACATGTTACCTAGTGTTAAAGATGAAAATGTTTTCCGTGCTCTCTCTGTACCTATCTGGCTCTACATGTTCATTTTGAATCTGAATGCTACTTTTATGACTCTGCATGGATCCAGAGATCAGAGAGGTGTCCTTCATAGACAGATGAGATTGAAGTATAGGCATCAAACCTTGATTCACTAATACTAATAGCTCACTACTAAGTACAATCACACAAGATATACCAATAGCAAGTATGGGTTGTATGGGTTATACCGACTACAACTTCAAAAGCTCAAGTAGCTTCAAATCCAGAATTTGATTTTTGTCTATGTTGAAAATAAATGTTTTGTGTACACAACAAGGCTTCTTCTTGCTTCCATCACATTTCTTTGACTCATAGTAAAACCATAAAGTAGGAATGTACCAGGACTCCTTATTGCTCCTATGAAATGTATGGATGATAAATAGGTTTTTCCACTTCAACCTTTTGGTCATGTGACCAAAAAATATGTACTTCCCCCTGCTTCTTGTACATCGTAGCAATGTCAGAAAACATCCATCTACTATGGTATGTGTAGCACTTTATAGTTTATAGTGTGGCACCACACACTTGTCTTCAGTTTTACAGTGGTTCACTATACCAATGTAGAATAGCATTCATCTCATTTTGCACTACACTGGAGTGGAGTGTGATTCTATATATTAGTGTGTCAAAGCACCAGGGAGAGAGATCTATGACTTATACACTGCAGTGCTGTGCACACAGCACTAAAATGAAGATGCCTGGCTCAAAGCTTGCCTCCTTTAGGCAGCTGAATCCCCAAAGTGATGCACTCTTCTCTCAATTGGACCCTTACTAAGCATTGAAGAACACTAGAATGGGATCCAGATCTTTTAGATGTTCAAGTTGATCTTCCCTGAACAGGCACCCCAATATTGCTCAGAGCATCCATAATGGTGTTTAGATTGTGTGGGCTCACAAGAATCTCAAAAACTCAAGGAGGGTTAGGATCTTCAAGGCAGTGAAAACAAGCCAGAGTCTTTCTAAACACCTTCATAGAGTTTGAAATCAATTCATTCAAGTTTGTTCAAGTTTCTATTCCAGGATGTGATTCAGATGAACTTCAATTTGAATGATTTCTATAATAAAACTCCAGGAATTCAATCTCATAATGACTTCTGTTGACTTGAAATTCATTTTTTTCTTTAATTTTCAACTTTGTATATTTGAGAGAAAAAAAATGATCAAAATGTCGGTATTGTCAAAAAAAATATAGGTAACTTGATTTTTTTTGGTAATTTTCCTTTTCATTTATCTATTTATAAATTTGTATAAATGGCAAAAAAAAATTATTTATACCAAAACAAAAAAGGATAGAAAAACCAATACATACAAAAAGGAAAAAAACGGAAAAAATATGCTACAAGAGTGAGTGATTTGGTAATGAAGAAAGTTGTAGAGAAAAAAAATCAAATCAAATTGTATATATATTTTAGCCACATAACGAAAGGAAAAACATGATTAAGGGAAAAATGATGATTCTATGAATACACAAAGATAGAAAAAAAAGAGTATATAAGTTTCTATTGATCTTTTGGAAAATCAATTTATTACTTTTTTTTAATTAGATTTTATATAAAGTTTTTACAATCAATTCCATCTGCGAAATCCAACTATAAAAACCCCCAAAAGAAAAACAAACAAACATCAAAACTCAGAAACCGAAACCCAAACTGTTTTGATGGTGGTGGTAGTGGAAATCAGAAAAAAAGTACTCACGATGGTGATATTAGAATCATGACCAACAGAAATGATTTGATGTAAGTCTATCGAAACATCAAACACAATCGATTTTTGACCTTTTCTAAAATCTAATTTCATCAGTCCAGTTTCGAAATCCCAAACTTTAATCGTTTTATCATAACTAACCCCCAAAAAAAACGAATCAATTCAATCAAACCGATTCAAAAGCATATCAAAAGCGAATCAAAAGGCACTAACCTTCCTGTGACTAATCTTCTTTCATTCACATCTACATCTAAAGTTCTAACTAAACCTTCATGACCCAACAAAGTTCTCAAACACTGACCATTCCTAAGATCCCAAACCTTTACAGTTTCATCATTCGAACCACTGATGACCAAACCAAGTTCTTCAATCAATTTAATACAGGCCAAACCTCTTAGATGACCTTCACAGGTCCTCAACAATTCTCCTGTTAATGGGTTCCAAAGTTTCATAGTCGAATCACCTGAAGCTGAAACTAATAATTGACCGTCTTTGGAAACTTCAATCGCATTTACCGGTCCAGTATGACCTTCTATAGTTCTAAGTAATGAAAGATCGAACCGATTCCATAGTTTGATGGTCGTATCTTTACTACAACTCACAATGTAATTCGAATTGATCGAAAGATCTAAGACTCCTGATCGATGTCCAATTAACTCTTTCTTCTTTTCTCCTGTCTTCATATCCCATTGTATCACTTTACAATCTGATGAACCTGTCAAAAGGAAATCCGATCCTGAAAACTTTAAACATAATACACTGCCTTGATGTCCATTTAAGGTGTGTTGACAAAGTCCTGTTTTGATATCCCATACTTTAACACTTCTATCTCTCTATTTACCAACGGAAAAAGTAACCAAATAATCTATCAGTGAGATCTTCAAGAAGAGATGAAGATGGGAAAAAAAACTCAACAGATCCTGTTACGATTTTCTCTTCATCAAATTGTAAACAATAAACCGAATCTTTATGTCCTTTTAATGATCTAGAAACTTGATCACCTGATTTCCATCTAGACTCAATCACATATCGATCTCTAAAAACTTTAAACCAATCTAATCCTTCTCTTTCAACTTCTTCTTCTTCTTGATCTTTTCTATTCATTATCGGATTAGTAGAAGTAGTGATCGGTTTAGAAAGGTCTTCTATTCCGATAAGTTGACTAAACCTTCTAGCGACCAATTTATTCGAAGAACCTCTTCTACAAACCATCTTTGATTTGATTTCTTCTTCTTCTGCTTCTTCTTCTTTTTCAATTGGTTGAAGTTGAGAAGATGATTTTGATTTGATTTGAAACTCTTCTTTAACTTTCCAATTCGAATGAGTCTTAAAGAGTTCATGCCAAACCACCGGATCTTCAGCTACCTTTTTCCAATTCTTAGATACTTCTCTACACTTTACCATTGATGAAACTTGATTGATTTTCAAAATGATATATAATCCTAATTCGATTGGTAATTCACTCATGAAATCGATTTTTTTTTCTTCAGATGGTTTGGGTGAGGTGAGAGATTGAAATTGGATGAGTCGTTGGATTGGGTATGATGAGGATGTACTGGCTATGATGGGGGTGGATTGGTGAAGCTTGATGATCTCTTCGGTTGAGGTATTCGATAATGATCTTCGATTGATGGGGTTAGGCATAGGTGATGGGAAGGGTGGTTCGACAAAACAACCTTCGTCGTTTTGAGATAGGTTGGATTTGGTAGGTGTTGATGGTCTGATTAGATTTGATGTGGTACTTCTAGATTGGTTCTGACTTGTTTCGAGGATTGGAGTGATTAGAGTGGTAGGAGTGGTGGGTATGATGTTAGATTGCATTGTGAGAGTGATTGGTTTGGGTTGAAATGTGAAGTGAGTTTAAGGAAGAAAGAAAGAAAGAAAAGGAAATCTAAAGAAAGGAATTGGAGAGTGAATGGTCGATTAGAAATCAGAGACAGATTGATTGAGTTTTATAAAGCTGAGCAAGCAGTTATTTGAAATTTTACCTAATTCAATTTCACCTTTTTACCCCTTGTGCTCTCTAAAACTTGTCAAGCTTTGTTCTGTCCGTTGTCTTGGTACTTCTTTTAACTTTTAATCTTTAAAATCAGTTTGTGAGTTTCGAAAGCTTTCAAAACCTTTCTCGGCTTCCAAGTTTAATGAAAACAACCAAAGCAACCAAAAAATATAATACTACAAAGGATATGATTTCAAATCGATTCTTCAAAGCGCCAGGCTAGTGTAAATTGAAAATGATCAAAAGAAAATCAAATCAAAAAATCAAAAAATCAAAAAAGTAAAAAAGTAAAACGTAAAACTAGAAGTAAGAAATGAAAGAAGTGGTTGGAATTTGTTTGTAAAACTTTAAAGGAAATGAAAAAAAATCGAACCAAGTGTTCTTTAAAAGCTTATTATCCAAATCATTCGACTTCAATCTTACATCAACCCAATCCAACCCGTTACCTAACCTGAGCATTTTAATTTTCGAATTCTCTAATCACCAACTCTTCAGTCAAAGCAACCATAACAACTGTTTCGATTCCCACTTCAGTAAAACTGACAGTCTCGACTACCTTACACTTACCTCACTCAACCCTTACAAGGTTTTTTGAGCGAACCGATTCTTTTAAAGTTAAAGATCACTTTCCTCATCGTATGTACTTACGTACATCTTTCTTTTTGCCGAGTTGGAAAGTGGATTGAATCATCGGTTTAGTCCTAACTTGTTTCATCTCTTCTTTTCGTTTTGATTCCTTGAAGGCTTCTATATTCTTTGGTATCCTATTCTACCCACACTTCTTGGTTTCCTTGACAATCTTTCTGTGCTCGTCTTCATGGCTTACGTTTGGTTAACTGTTTCAATGACTTTATTCATAGTGTTGATTTCTCAATAATCTTATTCAAGGTGTAGATAACACTCGAAAGGGTTTATGAAACACGTTTTTTCTATGAAATTATTCTTCAATGGAACATTTCTAAATCAACAGTCATCTAAATTATTTGAACTTCATCTCATCTGAAATCTAAAAGTGTAAAAATCTCATCTCAACCCCCCAAAAAAACAATCATGGAGATCATGACTACACCACAGGGCGGCTGGCAGGTGAGCTTCAGGTGAAATCAGCCTCTGCCAAAACATCCCGGGCTCTCCACCTGAGGCCACACTGATTGAGCTACAGGTGAAATTCAGGGTGGCCAACACCTGACGTGATCACCTGTCCACAAGGTGATGGCTCACCTGTCCATTACATGAGTATTTTCACCTGTTGATCAGGTGAAAATCCTCATGTAATGGACAGGTGAGCCATCACCTTGTGGACAGGTGATCACGACCATATGAGAAGTCTCACCCACCTGTAGCTCAATCAGTGTGGCATCCAAATGGCTCACCTGTCCATTACATGAGGATTTTCACCTGATCAACAGGTGAAAATCCTTGTATGGTCACGGTATATAACTTCTCTTACCATGACCATATGAGAAGTCTCACCCAATGAACAGGTGAAAATACTCATATGGTCATGATAAGAAACTTCTTACCATGAGACCATACAATGATTTTCACCTGTTGATGGTACCAAAAGCCTGGTATTGAGCCACTCATCTTTCAGTAGCTCTAGAAATGGCACTGGTTTTTTATTCTCGTACAAATCAGGTTTGATTTGTATTTTTTTTTGATCCAGCATAAAAATTCTATATATTTGGGTCCGTCCAGTAAAAAAACAATAAAAAGAGAAAAACATAAAAAACAACAAAGAGAGATCATTCTCCTTCTTCTTCTTCTTCTCCTCCTCCTTCTTCTCCTTCTCCTTCTTCTTCTCCTTCTTCTTCTTCTCCTCCTCCTCCTCCTTCTTCTTCTTCTTCTTCTTGGCCTCCTTCTCCTTCTCCTTCTTCTTCTTCTTCTTTTTCTTTTTCTTTTTCTTTTTCTTTTTCTTTTTCTTTTTGTTGGTGTTTCTTCTTTTTGTCATCACGTTTCTTTTTTAAGGAGTCATACTCACCCATTATTTCCGCTGAAGCAGGGGGAAGCATGTGGTCGGATTCAACAATTGCAGAGTAAAGTAATGATTTTTCGAAATAAATGCCATTAAGCTCCATAACTACGTTGTGAAACCTGAAACAAGTACACAACTTAATTAGGATTTTGAACGTTGGAGTTTGAGAGATGGAAAAAACTTACGCTTCCTTGTACAAGCTGCCATACTGGACTTTGTTATCCCTCAACACTTCCAGGGCGTTATCCACACTACTCCAGACAGAATACTTGTGATCCTGGCTTGGCTGTCGAAAGGTGTACACAGCATGTAAGCGCTAGAAAGAACATAATATTAGTGTACAGAATAAACCAAGTCAAGAGATAAGATAAAAAAGCAAAAACGTACCAAAAAGGCAATCCGATGTACAAATTCAATAGGTAGATCGGCAAAAAGTTGGTCATCAGTCCGAGGATCAGTTTTAAGAATCAAGGCATGATGGATCTGCACAATAAAAAAAAACTTAGCATCAAATCCAACAGAGAAAGAGGAAAACAAAAGAGAAAACTTACCAAGCGAACAAGTTGCTTGATAGTGGGCATGGCATGGGTGGGACAATTTGGACCGTCAGGTTTAATGTTGGTGAGCAGCTAGAAAGAAAAAAAGAAAGAAATCTTAGTAGAAAAAGAAAGAATGAATGAATGAACAAAAGAAAGAAAGAAACTTACCAAGTTTCGTAAACGGCTTCGAGTATCAGTTGCAAAACGATTAGCCCAGTCGTTAAGGGCCTTGAAGGCTGCAGACCCATCAGGCGTTCCATACCCAGGAGGGTAGTATTCCTCCTTGAATTTTTCATCTTTGGAGTCGATATATTTCTAAAACAAGAATGAACTTGTCATTTGGAGACACACGAGAGAAAAAAAAGAGAAAAAAAAGAAAGGTTACTTACTTTACATAGTGCATCAAAGGTATGTCGAATAGTGGATTTGTTGGAGTCCTGGGTGCTAGAGTAGGCTTGAATCTTGAAGTCCAAGATCATAGCGTTGTAATCCGGTCTAGCAACATCCTGAATCCAAGAAAAAAACATGTCAGTACAGAATAGGGGAAGGAAATAGAAAAAATCACTCACCTTTAGTGTGCTAGAGGCCTTCCAACCGTCCACAGCATGAGATCGAAGAGCAAGTGATCGATTGGGCTCACTCACTTGCTCCTTGAGAGTTTGTTTAATATATGCCAGATAACTGACAGTGCCGATGAACTGGTTTTCCGGCCGAGTGTCCTGAAAGAAAGAAAGAAATCAATCTTTATACAAAGACAAAAAAACAAGAAAAAATGCTTACCTGACATACCTTGAGGACCTCCTCATGAGTATCGCTAGAAAGGTTGAGAGTCTTGGCAATCGACTCCAGATACTCTTTCTGACTGTTAGTCAGAACGTGTGGCTGGAGAAAAGCAACACTGTTGGTTGGCAGTGGCTGCGAAGAGGTAGAACCCAAACCTGAAGATGCCGTGGGATTGAGGCGATGGTTGGCCCGATCTGTGTTTCTCAGAGCTGTAGCAGGTGCATCCTGCTTCCTACGTACTAGATAAAAAAAGAGCACAATCAGTTAATGTACTTGAGATTAGAAAAGAAACTTACCCGTTTTGACGGTCCCCTGGGATTCAAACACAGTTGGGAGGGAAGATGACCTTTCCTGACGTCCGGTGCGCTTTGTTTGCTTTGATTTGGGCATCTTCAAAGAAACACATCATGACAGAAAGGTCAAACAAACGGACTTGGTTTCAGTATAGTGTATAACAGTCTTAAATGAAGACACAGAAGCTTAAAGGCTGAGAGAGAAAAATTGAAATGACAGGCTTACTGATGAACAGTTTGCAATCCAGGTTGGAGATAAATGGTTTAAAAATAAACGATCGAAGCAATCCAATCTTGAGATGAGACCAAAGAGAAATCCTAGATCAAAAGAAAAGATAACAAATGATCAAGGATATGAAATGAAATGATATAGAGAAAGAAAACGAGAAAGAAAACTCACCAATAAGCGGTTTGATCAGATGACTTAAAAAATCAACCCAAGTGATGGATTAGACCCAATTAAAAATAAACAAGTGAAGAGAAAACTTACCAAGTTGATCGAAGTTGATCAACTTAAGACACAATCAAAAGTATTGGTTGGATGGCTTTTGTCTTGAAGTAACAATTAAAAAGACTTACAGATCCACAAAAGATTGATGGAAACGTCTGATTCGAATCTTTGAAGTGATCAATGAACCAAGTCAATATTGAACCAAAAGATCTGAAGAAATCAAAACAAAAACAAAAATCAAGATCTGAGGTGTTTGTGGTATTCAATGAGAAGACTTACAAATGGATCAATTGATAAATAAATAAATAAATAAACTTTCAAGTCGAATTGAAACAATGGATCCTAAGAGATTGAAAAATAAAGACAATTGAAGTTGAATTGAAAAAAATGAAGATGATTGGAGTTGAATTGAATTACTGGATCCAAAGAGAAGGGAAAGAGTAAAGTGGAAATGAAGGTTGAAGGTTGAAGGAGAAAGGAGATCAGAGATCCTCTCTACGGTAGTGGTGCACTGGAGTCTGGATGAGATGTGGAAAACCGGTGATGCCTGATAGGTGATTGTCACACAGGTGTAACAAAAGGTGTGACAATCACACCTGTAAACAGACAAGCGCACCAATAATACAATGTATATTTCACAGCATGTATTATGTATGTTCTACTTTTTTTGCCTTTTTTAATTTCCTCATCTTTTAGGAAATTCTCCTTCGATTGTTCTTCACTTTAACTTTTTGTTTCAACTCATAATCTGTCATTTGGTCTTAATTGTTACCTCATTGTTAAAAACCTACCCTGTCTGCTTCGGACCCTAGATCATCGCGACGAAGAACTCAGAAGCTAGAGGGCAGGTTGATAACTTTGATTAAACTTTTTAGGCATATCTGTCGATTGGTGTTTTCTGCTTTTCATCCTCCTCCTTTCTCTAAAAAACTCTTAAACTACTCAGCTTTGATCTCCTTTCAAAACAACTTGAATTTTCATTGTTACCTCATCGTCAAAACCTACCTCGATTGGCTTGGACCCTCAGAATATCATCACAAAGAACTCACAAGGAAGAGGAGACGTTGATAACTTTAAATTAAACTAATTTGGTATGTAAATCAATTACTTCGCATCTTGTTTTGTTCATTTCCACATTGATTCTTCCACTTTTACTTTTCAAATAACAACTCATACTCGATCTCTAATCCTATCTCTGATCGTATCTCTAATCATTTTATATAGGTTTATCGAATCATTACTACTTCATTGTCAAAGCGACCATGCCCAAGGACAAACTTCCAACCACAATCAAATCCAACCTCCTCCGATCAATCAAACAACATCTGGAACGACCTAATCCTGACTTATCTTCTGATCATTCCTTATCAAATGAGGTGTTACCCAAGCAAAAGTACAAGTCGCCATCCACAATCAGATCGCGCCTTCTCCGGTCAGTCAAGAAGAAACTTGAGCGCAAACCGACTTCCTTGCCAAACTCTCGAGCCGCGAAAAAAGCCAAACTCACTGAGCACTATGGACTTCCGGAAGACTCAAAGTTCCTCTTCTTGAAAAAAGGACGTAAATTTGGTAGGCCTCGTCTGAGTCTTTCTCATGGGACTGTGGTATGTCTCGATGTGGATACCTCGGAGCTATTACTAGTTGTCCGATTTGTCGAGCGTCAGGAAGGAATCAATGATGAATTGTTCAGAAGTTATAATCACTCTATCAGTACCGTTTATCAGCACGCCAAAGCTCGGAATGAAGTTTTAGGGAATTTTGCTACTTATCGAGGAAGGAGACAAGGTAACAAGTTCGGACGAATGTATGCTGCAGGATTCCGTCCTGGGTATGATCACATTGTCAAAGGTGGTCAGTTACTTTTCAAATAGAACTCTTCCTTGATCTCAAAACTTATGATGTGCTTAATTACATAGGTCATTATACCTGGAATGCAGAAGTAGCAAACGACCTTCGCAAGATGGAAGCCGACTTGAAAAGACAAGGAAACCTCCCTGCGATCGAATCCTTCTTTGCCGAACGATTCAGCTCACTCTCCTTATTTGCTTTTGATTCTAATGCCACTCTGGCAGCGCAAACAAACGCACCATCATGGGGGAATCAGTCCTTTTATGTAACTCCCAACTCCAAAGTATTCGGTTCTAGCATTGTGGTCACCTGCGACGAGTTTGTCAACAAAAAGCACAAAGATAGAGATGCGTCAAAATATGCATTTGGTTTATTCTCATTAGTCAATCGAGCAACTGGTGAACTTTACCATCGTGGTGTCAATGCCCCCAGAGGTAATAATCTTGGAGCAAGATTTGTACTCAATGACTACAACGTTGATGTGAATCATGATGCAAGTGATGGAGTTATCGAAATGCTATGGAACTCTCAAATACATCATCATACAATTGCATCCAAGACTTTCAACAAGAACCACGATCGAATTCCTGCTGAATCTGCCGAAATCACTCGTTTCGGATGTTCTTGTCAAATATCGCAGTCCTTAGTTGATCGACTCAATACAGTCAAATCACTGCAATCGACAATGTCTGAAGAAGATTGGCTCTCTTACGAATCTTCTGTCTTTACGGGTTATAAAGAGCAAGCTCACCAAAAAATGAAAGCACTTGCAATCAAGTATGGGATCTGGCAAGAAGACTTTTAGTGTTTCAACTAGCTCGATCATTATCCTAGTTTCAGACTATCCTTATTAGTTTTGAACACTTTCAATTTTAAATCTTGAACATGCGATCAAATCGATCGATCTAGACTCATTTCAATAGTTCAGACTATCCTTATTAGTTTTGAACACTTTCAATTTTAAATCTTGAACATGCGATCAAATCGATCGATCTAGACTCATTTCAATAGTTTTCTAAGCTCCTTTTTCTTGACTTTTTGATGGATATTGAAATGATTTCAGAAGGATGGAATGTTGTTTATCTGAGTCTTGTCATCTACAATCCTGAACCTTTCACCATCAGTGAAATCGATCTATTGACTTCCAAGGTTCTTTTGTATTTTTGACAGTTTTCATAATATAGATTGATCGATTTGTGTTCTGAAGTTTGTTGTTGTTGGTCTTGGTTTAACTTACATCAATCTCAGTTTTTGTTTTGATTATTTTACTGTTTCTTCATATTGAGGGATTGATCTCGTTCTCAAGGTTCTTGTTGTGGGTCTTGGTTAAAATGTTCAGAGTATGAACCTTTTCACCTTTCTTTAAATTGATCTATCGATCTAAGTTGTTCTGACGGATCATTATGTTTTTGGTCTGTTTCTCTTCAATTTGGACTCTTGAATGTGTTTTAAATTGGTCTTTCTATATGATTTGTCAAAGGAATGATAAAGGTTTTTGTTTTATCTCTATCAAAATTTACTAGCTCGGGCCCAAGGAAGCATCTGACTAGACATAACTTGAGGCTGAGCCTGACATTTGGATTCTGTTTTGATGATCATGATCAGCTAAGAAATTGATTATACATTTCACACATGACTTGGAAGGAGTATCACTGGTTGAACTCCAAATGACTGTGTATAGATAAGTGTAAATGTTGAGCAACACAAGTTCTGCAATGAGTTTGCAGTCTCGATAATTCAGATACATTTCCAACTATTGATCAGCTCAGTTTTTGGGCTCTCTCATTCAAGAGCCCAAAAGAAATCAAAAGATAGTTACCTGATCAACTAGCTTTTAAATTAGAACTATTTTATGGGGAAAATCTTGAGCTGCCTGTTAGGTCAAGCTTTAGAATGTCATTGTGCAAAATGGGGGTCTCAAGGGGTTGAAATTTGCAGATTGGCAAGAACAGTCAGTAGATCTGACCAGGAACAAGGAGGTCAATTGGGCAGATGGGAAGGTGCACGGCAGAGAATCAACAGCATAGTATCAAGAATGCACTTAAAAATTTTTAGAAGATCTTCTGAAGGATCAAGCAGAACTCAAAGTTCTGAGAAACATCATTATTTCCACACATCAATGGTCAATCAAACTGATGGTTGAATATTTCATGGATAAAGAAGCTACAAAGGCAAAGGAATTAGATTTGAAAAATATCAAACAGGTGGCTTTATCTCGTAAATTCAAGTTTGGTTAAACTTAAAGGGAAAGGAAACAATCCACAATATTGTGTCCAAAGATTTGGTGGAAAGGCTGATAACAATCCATTAGCCTGATAACATACTTCAAGTTAATTATTGTACAGAACAGATTCTTCAAGGTAAATAGTTGTTTTCACTGTGGACAAACATATTCTGCATTTATTTGAAATCCATGTTCAAAATTAAATACACCAAACCAAGCTAATCTTGTGGTTGATTAATTTCCACATATACCAATAGAACAGAGATGTATCCACAGGTTTAGCATGAATTAGATATTGAATTAGAAAAAAATTGGTGTCGTTGGAGCTTCCTTGCACAGTTTTCTTCCCAGTTAAGGTTGCAACAAACTGACTTGAGGACAATACTACAGAAAGAATGTCCTCACCCAAAAGCCAAGTACGTTGAACATTGTACATTGCTTCCCAAAAATTGTAGACCTGATCTGTAAGTTTATAAAATCTCTCTCATCTGTGGTTCAACAGGATTTCACCTTACCACATCAAATTTAGCAAGCTAATGAGTTATTATTAGTCCGTTTTGTAAAATGATGCCTTTTAAGAGTTTGCCTGTTCTCAGGAGTTTCAGTATCATCTTTGCTCTTGCAACTTTGGCATTTGCAGACTTTTCATGGGTAACAGATCATTTATTCACATCTCTTGCACCCCACATATTACTTCTTTTGTGCTCATAAAATGCACATGTCTCTAGGAAGCCAATCACTTTGGATTGACCAACTTCAACATTGATTACTAAAACAAGAACAAAACAATATAATCTCTATTCTGATGGAATACCTCCAATGAGTTGAGTTTTGATCTTCTCTTCTTTGATCAACAAACAAAATAACAATTATTATCATTCTGAACATTTGGCTCATCTCATCATGCTACTCTCAACTGAAGTGCAGAGACTACGAACAACACCTATTGATTTAGACTGGATGATTGGTTCTACTTAATACTTACACAGGATTTGGATAGTAATATAAATCTAAGAGAGAGGCTTAGTTTGAAAAGCCTACGTGAAGACTATTTAGGGCTATCTGATCACCTCCAGTAGGGTTTCTGGCTATATTTCCTTCTTCAAAGTCTCTGCCAGGAGGAATTCAGAAGTGGATAGTGAGGTTGATACTGTTTGTACATGAGAGTTTCATTGCCTCTCTGGTCCTGAGCTTGGGCTGTGGACGTCACCATCCCATGGTTGGTACATACTTTGAATGGTGGTAGTGAAGACCTACAAAAGAGTATGACCCAAGCCCAAGCAGGTCCAGGTTGAAGAACCAGGGTCCCAGCAAACTGCCAACCAAGTACCGTCCCAGTCCAGTGCCAGAGGGTGGCGGGCCACCCACTTCCAGAGGGTGGCTGGCCCCTCAGTACCTTGTAACATTCAATCATTTGTACTCATACGGGACCCCATGCATTTTGAAAAGCTGACCTGGAAATCTATGATGTATCGCATGGTTTCAAGGAACGTAAGTAAGAATGCAAGTTGGATTGATTTTTGATGGAGCGCACTCACCCATGTTTTATTGAATGCTGAGAAGTGACCTGAGTGAGTTTCGTAGAGTTGGACGATTGGTGTTTACACTGCAAATATAATGTGTTTCTCCGAAGTGAAAAATGATTGCACTTAATGCACAAAATGATTAATGATGCAGATTTAATGCAGAAAAATGCAGATTTAATGTAGATTTAATGCACTTTTAACCATTTTTTGAATGAAATGTAATCATTTTTCACCGTGGAGAAACACATTATATTTGCAGTGTTAGGGATCAATGATGGTCACACAGCTTGCGGGTGTGAATTCTGAATGTGACAGGGCAGGTGACTGGTTGGTCTTGAAACGTCGACCCGGACCGTGTAGATCCCGTGGTTATTCCAGCTTGCTTTTTGATCATCAAGGCTAGGCCTTGTAATCCTGTGATACACATTGACTTATAACTGTCATGCATTCTTGATTTGTTTGAGCTTGTGAATGTTGAAGACTTGAAGTGATTTGGGGTTCCAATTCAACAAGTTTTAATGATACCTCACTCTCAGGGACAACGGACTCACTGAAAGTTGCCTGCGCTCATGTAGAAGGCTTTCATAAGGCTCTGTTAAGTTGTTTGTGAGGTTCTGGGAGGTTTGAAAGTCTTCAATGGGGTCTTCAAGCAAATGAACATGTGAGTTTCAATAGACCACTATGGCAAGTTTGGGTGTCTTCTCAAAACACATTTGAACTCATCCGAACTGGTCCAAAACTCATTAAACTCATTCAAAACTCAATCAAAACTCATTCAAAACTCATTGGATCATGATGAAAGGCAGTCTGAAAACATTAAAAATAAAACACAATATTTGATTAAGATTAGGATAATTTACATTAGACTCATCAACGGTTAAACTTCATCTTCAGGTGTTGAGGCCCCATCAGGATTAACCCAAGTGTCAAGACCCTGTGTAACAGAAGAGCACCATTCTTCCCCAGTGACATCTTCCACTTCGAAACCAGCCATCTCACGATGGACTTGAGCGGAATAGAAAGAAGAAGAATTGAGGATATATGAGTTATGTTCAGAGTGATTAACTTCCCATCCTTTTTGCCTGATGACGCGCCGTTCAACCATCTGAGTCTTGGTTCGAAGAATTTCACAATCTCCATCATGACAGTTGTGTTGGAAATTTAAAAGGCAGTTGATGTCCTAATAAAAATTTGGTCAGCGTCTTTTTTTTAGAAAAAAAAATGATGGCTTTGAAAGACGCACTTTAAGCTGAACCCACACCTTATCCTCACATTTTTGAAACTCTTTCATATAATAAAAAAGATGGATTCCTGGGACGGGCTGAGTGCGCACAATTTCGACCCAAGCCTGGGAGTTCGTTGGTGTGGTACCTTGCCATACAGAGACAACACATCCAATAGATTCATTGACAGTGTTTGCATCAGTTGCTTGACGAATCTAAAAAAGGGTTAGATATCAATATTTTGACCAAGGAAAGATAAGATGATTGGACAAACAAATACAAAAGCGTCAGCCTTGACCTTCTGATTCTTGCTCAGAATAGCTGTTTCAACAGACTTCCATTCATGTTGAGGGAATACGCGCTTGAGTTGTTCTGGACAATTGGAAACATTCTTGGAATCTGATTTGACAATGATCACAAAACCCAAAATATGAGTGTGAATTTTCAAGTGAGAAGATAAATGATACACTCACAAATAAACTTGACTTCGGGTTTCTTGTTCCAATCAGGATCAAAACCCAAACCCTTCTGGATGATATTGTTGTTTTCAAACAACTCCCGAACCTTTGGTCCTGCTCGAAGATTTGCACGAAGTTCTTGATCAAAGAAATTACTGCCAGAGAATAAAATTCGGAAGAGACAATGAGTGGTGGAGGTTATGGCAATGTCACGTGATGGACTTTGATTATTTGAATGGACAGATGCATCACGTGTGACACGGTTGAAGCTTTCGAGCTTTTGAGTTGCAAAAAGGATAGCTGGACCAAGCCGGGCAATTGAATGTACAAGATGAAGTAGCATGTGAAATTTAGGTTTATTCGTCCATTGGGCA